CTTTTCCCTTCTCTACTTACATTTTCCCCCCTTCCTTCTTGATGATGAAAACTATGTACTTTTCTATATGTTGCACATAACTTAAAAGTAATGAGATTTCACGTCATTGCATATACTTTCAATATACTTCGTGGATATTTTGGTTTAGCGGTTCGTTATTATGATTTTTGAGAAAATCGTATGTTTCTTATATTTCGGTAATTTGTCTCAGTATACGGATTTCGGTAATATAACTTTTAAAAATGTATATTACCAATATTTTGGTAAAATTGTATTTCGGATCGTCTCGGTATTTGAACTTCGATATTATGACTTTTCGGACAATTTTCCCTGTTCCAAAATTTCGGGCTTTTTGTTTTTTAGGACAATACATGTTCACCTTATTTTTGAGTATGCAAACTAGCTTTTTGTAAGACTAATTGGTTTCAATTCTTTTGTGCAAATCTATTTGAATTGAATATTATTATATAAAATTAATTTCCATCGACAGTCACCAATTGATTTAAAAATGCATCCCTAGTTTTAGTCGGCCGTGTAACTGCAGATACTTAATTTTGATATTTTCTGTAAACATGTATGTGATATTCAAATTTAAATGATACATAATTTTTTTTAATGTCAAAATGCAATCGATCTATTAATGTTTAACTTCTTATACACTTCTATTGAAATCTGTAGGTTATTGTCTAATAAATTACTCTAATATCGTTATCAATAAAGACCGTCCAGAACATTATTGATTTTCGAGATTAAAATTATCACGTCAAATTAAACAAAGAAAATAGTTATAAAGAGAATTAAAAAATTTTCAACTTTTCAAATATATGTTACTGAGATCTTATCAGTAAGATGTTTAAAGAATTTTTTAAAGATTTTATGAAACAAATTTTTAAGATTTTTTTATATAGTTACTCAATCATAAATATCATGAATATATTAATGATTTTACATATTTCCTTTTTGAAAATAAAATTGATATATTTCAATACTTTTTGCACAGACTAGACAGTTACAAAATGAACTGAATGAAAAGTTTTCTTTGCTCTATTATGTATTATAAATATAATAATTATAATGTATAAATATAATATTTATAATATAATATTTATAATGTATTATAAATATAAAGATATCAGTAAAAGAAATACTCCTTTTCACACGCAAAATAATTTTATTTAGATTCCTCCAATCGTGAAGAAGCAGATTTGCTTAGAGAATGGTTCGATCTTATGAAAGAACGCACTGAGCTACGTAGATATGAAAAAGAGCTTCTGGTGCGTGCACAAGAAGTACAATTAGAAGATCGCCATGAACGATTACAACAAGAATTGCGTGAACGCCTAGCTGATGATGGTAAATACTTTTATATTTCTTAGTTTATTATAATACACAACACTTTCTCTAATCTCTAAAAATAAGAGACATATTTTTTTATCGGCTTATCTCGAGATTTAGGAGTTAAAACAGCCCCTAGAAAAAAATTAACTTTTTCATTTTTATGGAATAATTTCTAAAATATAAGGTATATGAAAAAATGTCTTCTACAAAAGTTTTAAAGTATTTAATACTCTTTGCAACGACGTACTTAATTCTTTTAAAATGTCAAATTTTTTACTGCCCCCCCCTTCCATTCGTTACCTTCGCAAAATTTTTAAGTTTTTAAGGACTAAATTGTAGAGCATTTAATACAAAATCTATCTATATATAATAATAAAAGTTAGTCTCGCTTTAATCGTTGGAAAAGGTCGTGATAGTATGGCCTCTATAGCACATCGTGCTATAGAGGCCATACTATCCAACTAGATAGCTACTGTATCCTACTGAAAAATTTCTGTTGAGATAACAATAGAATTCCCAATTCAATTCTCAGTTAAATTCTCAATTGAATTCTCAAATGCGGTTTAAAAAATTCGCATGTAAGATCTCAATTGAGATATTTGTATCTGACGGAAATAATTTATTGAAAATATAATGAACTTTTGCTGAAATGCTTTTGAAAAGCATTCACAATTTTGACCCAATTTCATTAAAATTTCATTATAATTTCATTAATATTTCGATAATACTTTATTAAAAATATAGAAACATTCAGTGAAAAATCGTTATTAATTAAAATAGATTGAAAAAAGTATGAAGTATTATTTTGTCTAAATAATAAAAAAAAACTAATTTCATATTTTGTGACGTTTCATTTATTCGTAAGATTCGCGTGGATTCGATCCCATGTCACACGGCGCCCATCTTTAGATTACCATGCGCTGTTCAATGCCTAACCTCAATGATCGTACTGAAACTTGTAATGCCAATGCGCTGTAACGATATCATGATAGATTATATTTACAATATACTCTTACAACATTAAAAAATGTAATAATATATTTATCGGTAAATGTTTCAAAGGACGTAACAATAATCACAATGCGATTAATATTGATACAATATTGTATAACTAATTAAATTTAAATATACAACGTGCTCGCAAAAGAGAGAAAGAAGGAATATTCTCTTTCTTTTGCGAGCATGTTGTATGTTAAAGTTTGATTAGTTATACAACATTGTATCAATATTAATCGCATTGTGATTGTTGTTACGTCCTTTGAAACATTTACCGACAAATATGTCATTACATTTTTAAACGCTATAAGAGTGTATTGTAAATACAATCCATTACAATATCGTTACAGCCCATTGCCATCACCAGTTCCCGTACGATCGTTAAGGTTAGGCATTGAACAGTGCATAGTCATCTAGAGATGGGTGCCGTGTGACACACGGGATCGAATCCACGCGAATCTTACGAATAAATGAAACGACACAAAATATGAAATACAGTTTTTTTATTATTTAGACAAAATAATACTTCATTATACTTTTCTCAATCT